GCAACTTATGAAAGCATTTAATTGGGCTTGCAGTTTCAGAGCCTTAGAATCCATGATGGCAGAGCAAAGGCATGGTGGCGGGGTTAGCTGAGGGCTCACATCTGGATCTGAGAGCAGAAGGCAGAGAGACACTGGGAATGGTACAGGTCTTTTGAAACCTCAAAGCTCACCCCTAGTGACATACTTTCTCCAGCAAGGCCACACCTCCTAGAACTCCCCAAACAGCCACCAACTGGAAACCAAGTATTCAAAGGCCAGAGACTTATGGGAATCATTCCAACCACCACAGAGGGAAGAGAGAAGAAAGGAAAGATATGCAGAAACAGACACATTGGGGAGGCCAGGGGAGCCGGAAAGAAAATATCCTGGTATACATCATGTAGGCAGAGTTTTTTCCTGGACCACCGATCAGCTCTGTCCCACTAGCCACTCCCAATAACCACACAGAGACTTATTATTAATTATAAATGATTGGCCGATAGCTTAGGCTTGTTGCTAACTAGCTCTTACATTTTAAATTAACCCATTTCTGTCCTGTTACTTGCTGCCACGTGGCTCATGGCTTGTTACCTCATTTTGTACACATCCTGTTTCCACAGATACAGAATATGGTTTTTCAGCACTGGGGTGAAAATAAGAAGCAACCATGAGTGGGAATGAGGTTTATTTTTACAGGGACAGAAATGTCTTGAAATTATGATTTTAGAATAACCGTGACGGTGGTGTTGTTTTTCCCACTCTGTGGGCATACTAAAATGCATTGAAGTGTATTCTTAAGCAATTCTGTAAAACTATGTTAGTAGTCTCCTGGGACCCCCTAGAACTTCATGGAGTCTACATTTGAACCCCCCAACGGGGACACTGAATACATGAAAGGCAATAATGCTACATCATTTCATAAATTAAGCTAGTGTGTTGGTTTGAATGAGACGAACCCTCCATTGGCTCACGTGTTTGAACACTTGATCCCTCATCGGTGGTACTTTGGGCAGAAGGGGTTGGAACCTTTAGGAGGTTGAGCTTTGCTAGAGGAAGTACATTATTGTCGGTGTGCTTTGAGGATTTACAGCCTCACTGATCTCTCCCAATGTTTCTGTCCTATGATTACTGTGATCAGCCAACCTCCTGTTCCTGCTACCATGCCCTGATCATGGTAGCATGTCAGCCATGCCCTGCTTTCTGGCCCATTTTTATAAACTCACCCTCTCTCCCCTCACCCCTCTCTTTCTGGAGCCATAATCTAAAATAAAACGTTTTTTTTTTTTTTATCTTAAATTGATTTTGGTCATGGTATTTTATCACAGAAACAGAAAAGTAACTAATGTAATTAGTACCTTTAAAAGTTACACCACAGTCTTGAAATACAGGGTTCTGTCTTAAATGCTCATGTTTCCTCTCTCTGTTTCTCCCAGGGCCCAAACACATCTGGGTATCTGGTTGGTAGGAACAATGCAAATGGAGTGGACCTGAACCGCAACTTCCCCGACCTCAACACCTATTTCTACTACAACGAGAAGTATGGCGGCCCCAACCACCACTTACCCCTCCCAGACAACTGGAAAAGTCAGGTAGGAGATGAAAATTGGCAATAGAAGCTGGTTACTCAGCACCTGGAGTTGCTTGCAGGATGCTAAGCATTCTTCACATCAAGAGAACTGTCGAGAATTGAACATCAACTTCTTCCTCGTTAGTCTACCTAGAAGAATGTTATCTCTCAGACTTCTTTGTGCTCTTCCCTCTGGCAGCACAGAGAGAGCCCTCCAGGCAGCAAGGCCTCACTCACTCCACCTATAAAATAATCATTTAGACGCTTAATATTATTTACAAACTGTATGGCCTATGGCAGGCTTCTTGCTACCTAGCTCTTTCATCTTAAATTAACCCATTTCTATTCATCTATGTTTTGCCATGGGGCCGTGGCGTTACCAGTCTGCTGGCATCTTGTTTCTCCTTGGGGCGGCGGCTAGGCATCTCTCCTTCCTCTCCTTTCTTCTTTCCGTATGTCTGCTTGGAGTTCCCGCCTGCCTCTCAGCTGCCTTGCCATAGGCCAATGCAGCTTTATTTATCAACCAATCAGAGCAACACATATTCACAGCATACAGAAAGACAGCAAGCAATAGTAGCCAATATTAGCCCTGTTTGACAGTTACTACGTTTGTAGGTCAAATTAAATTTACATAAGTAATAACTGAAAGAATCAATATTAAAACCTAGGCATGGACTGGGGAGATGGCTCAGTTGGTAAAGTTCTTGTCCTACAAGCATGGGGATCTGAGTTTGAACCCCAGGACCCACATAATGGAAGGGGAGAATTGACTCCTGCAGGTTGTCCTCTGACCTCAACATCAGGCTGACATGTTTATGTGTTCATGCACACACACATATGCACACAAAATAAGTGCAATTTAAAAAAAAATGTAAATGTACGGTGGAGAGTGAAAAAGAAAGACATCCATCTTCAACCTCTGACCTCCCTACACATGTGCACACACCAGCATGTACACACTCATGTGCACAAACACAGGCAGATCTCTGACTCATGTTTCCAGCATTCTTTCTGCTGATACTGTTGACAGGAAGCTCCAGCATTCTATAGACAAGTTTCTCCTACTTGTGATGAATCGGATGTTCATAGTGTTAGCTACAGAATGGTGTCTCACTCATGGTTCCCCCTCTTTCCTCCGATGTGACCTTTTGCATCTTAAAGCTCCCCTTGTTTCCCATGCTCTGACTGGAGACAGCATCTGGCAAGCCCTAGGTAGTGTGAATGGCCCCGCCCTGTGTGGACCTGCTGCCGGTGAGGGTAACTACTGCCTTTCTCGGAGCATCCCTGTCAGCCCTGACTTCTCTCCTGGGTGGGAGGGCTCCGAGACCGCATCTGTGAACATCGAAGCGTAGAGACTGGGGAGAGGAACACAAAGCAGGGGGAGGCCTCTCCACTGGATGTTCCTGGGTGGATAGGGTCAGTATTTCCCCCTTGAAAATGACAAGGGCTGGAGAGATGGCTCCGTGCTTCAAAATGTCTACCGTTCTTACAGAGAACCCACATTAGACAGCTCACAATTGCCTGTCACATCAGCTCCAGGAATATCTGATGTCCTGTATCCTTGTGGACATACCCCCACACAGACACACATACCCACACATAATTTAAAATAAAATAAAATTCTTTTAGAAAAATGATGTAAAAGTCATATTGACATGTTGGATTTCTGGTTACAGCTGTCCTTTTGGCTCAGTTAAGTAAGTAAAAAATAACATGGTCCTACTCAGTGTATGTAGGCAGAAGAATATCATAGGTAATTTTTATTTCCTGAGGCAAGGTATCATGTAGCCAAGGCTGGCCTCAAACTTACTTATGAGGATGACCTTGAACTTGCGTTCCTCCTGCTCTGCCTCCAGAGTGCTGGGATTATTGTTGTGAGCCACATTCTGAATTTTTTTAAAGGTTTATTTTTATTTGTATTTTTGTAATTATGTGGGGGTCTGTGTGTCTGTGTGGGGATGTGTCCATGTTAGCTGCAGGTGTTCTCAGAGTCCAGAAGAGGGTGTCAGATCCTCTGGAGCTGGAGTCACAGGTGTCTGTGACCTGACATGGGGACTGAGAACCGAACTTGGGTCCTCTCTGCTAGCAGCAAGTGCTCTGAACTGCTGGGCTGTCTCTGCAGCCCCCATGCTTTGATTATTAAACTTGTTTCTCTGCGAATGACAAGATAATGAGCCCCCTACTCAGTCCTCCGCCTAGCTCTGAAAAATGACATGGGAACTCCTTTGTGCTCCTGATGGGAGAGCCCTGAGGGAAAGGAGGGACCCGAAGCTGGCCTGTTGGAACGTGGAGCATCAGAGGGCCTCAGCTCTTGGTCCTGCAGCCACAGGCCACAAAATGACAATTTCTCCGACGGAGATCACGTGTACAGCAGTGACCCCTCGGTCGTGTGGCCATCTTAGTTTGTGTTAGTTTACTCTGTGACTTTGCACAGTGACAAAATGACCAAACATTGCTGGGAACTTAGCTGCCCACACATGATGCGTCTGTCCTGCTTGTGTGAGATCCAACTCTCCTCAGCCAGTCCCCTTTGGGGCCTGGAGAGAGGGGACCTTTAGAACTGACCTTGGTCCAGGAAGAGCCGTTAACTCATTGACCCCAAGAGATCACCAGACAGGCCCATGTGTGAGGAGAACAGCACCGGCGACTGGACTTTTGTGCTGTGGGTCCAGTGGGTTCATGGTTTTCTTAATCCTGCCAGTCACTGGCAAAGTAACAGTCAGCAGAAATTAGTGTGTCTAATCCATGAAACGTAGATATGATCAGAGTGTCATTAAAATGGTGCAGCAGATGTTGGGAAGAGGAGGCCGAAATCATTACTTCAAGCAAGTGGTTTCTATTATTAGAACCCTAGATTTTTGCAGAGATGTCTTAGAAGCCCAGCCCTTGCTACACTGGATATACAGGGAAACCTTTGGCTCTCTCGTTCTCCCTCCCCGCCCCCCCGTGTCCTTTCCTTCTCCCTCTCTTCCTCTCCCAAAATTGAGTAAAAAAAAAAAAAATACAGAGTTCCCGACACTTCCTGTTCCCACACTGACCCCACCTTCAACATCCTATCCCAGAGTGGTGCATTAATTACAATCGATGCGCCTGTGTTGACCTGGGCCAACACTCAGGATCTAAAATCTCCAGTCCCACTAGTGATTACCCTTGGTGTTCTGTGGGTGTGGGTGCACATGCTGAAAGTGTCCATCACTGTCACATGCACTGAAGAGTCTTCCTACCCTGGAGGCTCTCTTTGCACCTATTCTGTGCATTATAATCCACGTATTTCACTTTGGGAAGGGGTCCCATATACTTAATTTTGAAATCCTTACCACCAAGGTCAAAGTTTCCCAGCTCCAGTTCTCATATCTGGGGTGGAGGGAGTGGGATTCACAATTCCTGCAGGCTCCTTCCTGACAGGATTCTCTGAGGGACCGACCCTGTGGCAGCTCAGCCACACCTTGGCTGCCAACTTCTCATGTCTTCACAGGTGGAACCCGAGACCCGGGCGGTGATCCAGTGGATTCGCTCCTTAAACTTCGTTCTCTCAGCCAATCTGCATGGTGGGGCTGTGGTGGCCAATTACCCGTATGACAAGTCACTTGAGCATCGGTTCCGAAGTCCCCACCACCGCACCTACAACTCCCCCACACCAGATGACCAGCTCTTCCAGACGGTATGCAGAACCAGAAGGGCAGCTCGTCCCAGCAGGGGAACTTGGGCTCAGGAGAGGAGGTTCATGTCAGAGATGCACAGGTCCACAGACAGTTACAGTTGGAAACAGGGTCTGCTTGGGAGAGGCTGTCTAGTAAGTCACATTTTATTTCAGATGACAGGCCATAAATCCAGGAATGATGAAATCAAAAGGAAGACTTTTTATAATTGCTATGATGTAAAGAACACTTAAGTGCCAGGCAGTGGTGGCACACGCCTGTAATCTCAGCACTCGGGAGGCAGAAGCAGGTAGATCTCTGTGAGTTCGAGGCCAGCCTGGTCTACAGAGTGAGATCCAGGACAGGCTCCAAAGATACAGAGAAACCCTGTCTTGAAAAACCAAAAAATAAAAATAAAAAAGAACACTTAAGCTATGAGTTAGTGGAATGAAATGTGAATTTTGAGAGAACCTAACTTACACTTTTATGATAATAGGTCTATCTTAATGAAAAATAGGCCATGCAAATTAAGATTTAAATAGTAATATAAAACAGTAGAACAGGGGCTAGGGAGATGGATCCGCAGCTAAGAGTTCTTGCTACTTTTGTAGAGGACCCCAGTTCTGTTCCCAGCATCCATGTTTGTTAGCTCAAAACCATTTCCAGGGGATCTGACCCTTCTGGGCTCCAAGGGCAACTTCACTCACATACACACACACACACACACACACACACACACACACCAGACATACAGACACACACATATAAATCTTTTTTTAAGAAGATGAATATAGAGTTATATATTCATAATATGTATTTTTAAGTTCATAATCTTTTGTAATAAAATTTATTAACTAAATTATAAAATATGAATATATCTGTAGATAATAAAATATTAGTAATATTTATTATAATTTATCAATGAGGTATAGAGAACGATCCCAATTTACTTTGCAAAGGCAGTAAATTAATTTATTTTTCTCCAGTAATAATATTTTGTCTACTATTATAAAAAAATAATGACCAGGCATGGTGGTGTGTGGTCTAAGTATTTTACTTCCAGTACTTAGAAGGCAGAGGCAGGTGGATCTCTGTGAGTTTGAGGCCAGCCTGGTCTATAGAGCCATTTCCAGGCCAGCCGAGGAAAGATGTTGTGGTGATATTTTGTTGTACTCTAATAAAGCTTGCCTGAAGATCAGAGGACAGAGCCAGCCAGTAGATTAAACACAGAAGCCAGGCAGTGGTGGCACACGCCTTTAACCCCAGTATTTGGGAAGCACACACACCATTAATCCCAGCACTAGGAAGGTTGAGACAGGAAGTAAAATGGCTGGGCAGAGAAAAGCATGTAAGGTGTGAGGAGACAGGAACTAGAGAGCCTTTCCGCTGAGGACTCAGAGGCATTCAGTCAGGGGATTTGTGGAAACAGGATCTTCTCTTTTAGGCTGAGGAGTTGGTGAGGTGAGAAGTGGCTGTGGCTTGTGTCCTCTGACCTTCAGCATTTACCCCACTATCTGGCTCTGGGTTTTTACTGTTAAACTATTTAGGATTTGTGCAACAGATGTCTCAAAAAAAAAAACCCAAAATAAAAAAAATTATTAAAGAATAATGGGGATCATAGAGTCTAAGCATGTGCCTCTCTTCCCAACATGCATCTTTCATCTGTCAAAACACACGTTTTCTACTTTATTCATTCTTTGATTTCTTTCATTAAATTCAGCTAGAAAATGGCCCGACTGAAAAGGACCTTCTGTGTGATCTGTTCTCGTCCATTTCTTTGTACGGGACAGACTTATCCCTGAGAAAGTGGAAACACCAGAATACGGGGCTCCCATAGCAATTACAACATCTGGGATGTGAGGCAGGACTGAGTTCAAAGCCAGCCTGGACAACAGAGTGAGACTCTGTCTTTAAAAACCCAACAGAGAGAAGGAGGGCAAGCGTTACTCCAGGGGCCAGTCGGTGGTGATGCACGCCTTTAATCCCAGCACTTAGAAGGCAGAGCCAGGTGGATCTCTGTGAGTTCAAGGTCAGCCTGGTCTACAGAGCGAGATCCAGGACAGGCACCAATACTACACAGAGAAACCCTGTCTTGAAAAACCAAAAAAAAAAAAAGAGTGAATCCAGAATTCCTAACTGCAGTCCAAATTGTGCATGCTTGCTTACATAAACGCATGCCCATTCACACACACACACACACACACACACACCCTACCATCACCACCACCACCTCATTACCTCCTCCTTTATCTCTGGTCACACTTCCTTGCACTGAAGCATATAATGCACTTTACATGTCATGTTGCCCCATGTTGCCCCTTGGTGTCCCCTAGTTCGGAGTCTGAGCCGCTGCTGTGTGGGATGGGATTGCTCTCATTCATTTCCCGTCTTTCCTCCAGCTGGCCAAGGTCTACTCCTATGCACACGGATGGATGCACCACGGTTGGAACTGCGGTGATTACTTCCCAGACGGTATCACCAACGGGGCGTCCTGGTACTCTCTCAGCAAGGGTAAGCGGAGTCCTGGGAGCGGCCATTTTTTCTCCTTCTCAGGGACTCACTATAGGGAATACTGTAGACCTTTGCACCTCACGGGGGAAATGGAGAACTCCCAAGCTGGCATTCAGTAGCCTATTTGTGATCCTAAAAGACCGAGGAGGGAATCATGTGTGGCCTTGTAAAACTAGTGTGTTGTGCCCTGATCTGCTGGGGCATAGGAAGAAAGTAATGAGACCCAGTGGTGAAGGGTGTGGTCTCTGAGACTGAATCGGCTTGGAGTTCATCCTGCTTGAGTACCAGCCGTGTGGCTTCAGGCTAATCCCACGGCCCCTCTGCGCTTTGGTGTCCCCATCTCTAGCTAAGCCCGATAACACACTCACCTCGTGGATGTGATGCTTTAAGTAGAGCACTTGAGACGCCTGGCTTCTAAATGCTCTGTTTTTAGGGTGGGCTTCAGCCAGCAGCAGGAGAGCTCTGCACCAGAGCTGCCAACTCCCCACAGCAGGAACCTGCGTGGGCATTGGCCATTCATAACCAAAGGTCGGGGAGCTCAACTTCAGGTGCACCCTGCCCCGCCCCACCCCCGCCCGGCCCCATCCTCAACCCTTCCCTGCACCTTGCCTGGGACAGGCTCAGGATAAATGTGTGCTGTGAACCTTCCTCTGTAAGACAGGGAGGAGGCTAGAACAGGGAGCCGAGTTCACTGGGGGCTGTTCACATCCATCTTTTCCCATACTCTCACCACGGATATTGATGGGTTGAGCTGATGTTTGGTCCTGGGGAGAGTGGAGGGGAGAAAAACCATGGTGTCACTGTGTACTGAGAAGTTAAGACTTGTGGCCCCAAACCCACTTGAACACAAGCAGGAAGATTCAGTTAGATTCTAATTTCTTGTATTAAGAAACCAGTCTCCTCATCCCACAAATTGGAATCGTTAGATATGTGTTTTCAAATCATCCTTGTTTTGTTTTTTTTTCCCTCTCCTTCTCCACCTTCCCTGTCCTCTGAGAAAGCATGGCCCATGCCTGCTCAGAAATCTCCACTCTAAAGCAAACTGGCACAATCTCAAGAATAACTTGATTAATTAGTCAATCACAATGATTGTCTTAGTGCGTGGTCTCTGACCCTGCACCAGCAGTACCCCTTGGGGAGTTAGACCCTTTGCCTGGGAGTAAAGCCCAGAGTTATCTGTGTTTAGCTGGATGGCCCAGGCTTCCCGGGGACTCTAGTGCATGGGAGGAAAACATGTATGGAGTTATGGTTATTGGTCTCTGGATTAGTCAGGGTTCTCTACAGGAACATAATCCATAGAATGAATGTATGTTAAAAGGGGGAGTTTATTAGGATCACTTATAGGATAGAGTCTGGGTAATCCAACAGTGACTGTCTTCACACTGAAGATTCGAGGCCCTGGAACCTGCTCAGCTCACAAAGCTAGGTCCCTTTGCACCCCCAGTCTGGTGCTGAAGGCCTAGAGGGTGCGTAAAGAGCGGATGGTCTTTAGTCCATGTTGTAAGACCACTGAAGCTGGGTTCCAGTGTCGGGGTGAATGGCAGCCACAGAGTACATGAACTTCAGAACAGGGTAGATGAGCTCACCAGCAAGACGCAAAGGCAAGCAGGGCACGTGCAAAGCTTTCCCTTGAACCACCTTTTATCTGGATTTCAGCCAGAGGATGTCACCTATATATTTAGGGTGGGCCTTCCCACTTCAGATGACTGGAAGACCCCCGGAGATATGCCCAGCAGCGTATCTCGTAGTGGAATCCAGGTCCAGCAGAGCTGACAACCAAAATTGACCACCAGTCTCCAACTTCCTCCGTTCTTTCTTATTTCATGTGTACATGTGATTTGCCTGGAGGTATATCCGTGTACCCTTAAGAGCCTGGTGCCCGAGAAGGCCAGAAGGTTTTGGATCCCCTAGAACTGGAGTTACACATGGTTGTGAGCCACCATGTGGGTGCTGGAAGTCTACCCTGGGTCCTCTGGAGGAGCAGCCAGTGCTCTTAACCATTGGGCCATCTCTCCTGCCCTCTGCGTTCATTTTATAATAGCTTGTTCTCATCAGCCCAAAGAACAAGTGGAAGTTAACTAAGTGGATACTTATTTTTCAGTTTTTATTGTGACAAAATACTACAGAACCTACCATCCTTTTTCTTGTGGTTAGTTCTCACTGTTGCCTAGGCTGATCTTGAACTCATGGGCTCAAGGGGTCCTCCTACCTCATCCCCCTTAGGAACTGGGACTACAGGAGCATCCCACCCACCCGGCTCCATCATAACCCTTTAAAATTACTTATTCGTGTATTGTGGTGTGTGTGTGTGTGTGTACAAAAGTGAGCACATATGCCCCAGTGCAGGTATGGAGGCATTCAATGACAGATACGTGCTTCTTTCCCCACTTTGGTCTTTTGAGACAGTCTCTCTTTGTGTAGCCCTGGCTGGCCTAGCATTCACTCTATGGTCCAGCTAGCCTTGAACTCATATCAAGCCCTCCCGTCTCTGGCTCTGGAGGACAGAGGTTCTAGGCACATACCTATAACCACATCAGGCTTGCTGATCACACTTTTAATTGTGCCCTTAGCACCAGTCCTGTCTCTAGACTCTCCCCATCTTGCCCCAGTGCCATACTTCTCTATGATTTTGACTAACCTGGATATTTCATATTGGAATCATGCAGTGTTTGTCTTTTGAGTCTGGGCTAGTTTATTGCACTTAATATGGCATTCTCACGGCTCATCAAGGCATTGCCTTCGGAAGGCAGAATCCCAATGCATTCATCCACCACATTTTGTTTGTACACTACCCATCAATGGAATATGGGTTCTGTCTACCTTATGATTACTGAGAATAAGGCTGCTATGAGCATGGATGTCAAAACATCTCTTCGAGATCTTGATTTCAGTGCCTTTGGATCCCTATCTAGAGCTGGAATTGTTGGATTGGGTGGTAATTCTCTTCTGTGGTAGCTGTACCATTTTATAGTCTTATCAACAGCACACAGGCTCTGATTTCTCAACACCTTTATTAGCACTCATTATTTTCTGTCTGTATTCATCTTTCTGTAGTAGTCAGCTCATGGGTGCAAGCTGGCATCATACAGAAGCTTGATTTACATTTCTCTAAAGATTAATGATGTTGAATATCTTTTTCATGTGCCTACCAGCCATTTGTACATCCTCTTTAGACCAGCATCTATTGAAGTCTTTGCTTATTTACCCATTCTTTCATTTATTTATGAGCTAAGATTTTCATTTATTTGTTTGAGATAAAACTTCACTATGTGGCCCTGGCTGGCCTGGAACTTACTCTGTAGACCAGGCTGGCCTTAAACCCACAGAGATCCCCCTGCCTCTGCCTCCCAGGTGTTGAGATTAAAGGGATGTATCACTATGCTGGACATTTATTTTTTTATACTTGAGTCTTGCTATGTAGCCCAGGCTGACCTGGAACTTATGATCCCCTCTGCCTCATCTTCCAGCCTCCTGAATGCTGGGATTACAGGTGTAAACTACCATGACCCATCTCTGTGTGTGGCATTATACATGGATCTAACTTTATTTTTAGTTAGTGTTTTGATTGGTGTAATTCAATCAAAATCACCTCAATCACCTTAGAAGTGAGGTGAGGTTTCCAGCTTTATTCTTTTTTTTTTTTCTCCCCCACAGTTATTTTGGCTTTGGGGGAGGTGGGTCCTTTGTGATTTCATATCATTTTAAGATTATATGTGCAATAATTCCATGTAGAAAGATACGACCAACCATGCTGATTAAGCCAATTAAGAGAATAAGAAACCTTTAATCTTGGCTGGTGACCAAGAGCCAGTTCATGCCTCAATGTCTTTTGGTGCCAAAGTTCCAATGGTGTACAGCATTTTTAAAGACAAAACTTACAATTGCATCAGTGTTGGATGAGGGACAAGTAACCTTGCAACATCTGCTTTTGGCAGAACATAGTAGTTATTTCAGGTATAACATGACAATTATTTTTTACTTCTATTCTTCAGTTAGTTAGTAATTATTTTGGTTAATACATCTGGACCATGGTCAGGGTCACCGAAATCCCAGATATGCTGCCGAGCAGATATGGCTGTTGAGTGTGGAAGACTGGGAAGCGTCTGAACAGACAACAGATTGAGTCAGGACACTCCATATGTAAATTTAAGAGTGCATGTCAGGTGTAAAAAACGATCAGAAGTTACGGTGAGTTGGTTGGTGACTCTTGGTAGAACAGGCATCTTTGAACTGATGAATTTTAATCCAAATGAATGTGCAATATAAATATCATTCTAATAACCAAAAAAAAAAATACTGAAACAATTGATCCAATCTACTAAGTGAAAAATATAAACACTCAGAAGAAGCCATATATGATAGAGAAAAAAAGATAAAATACAGGTGTCTGCCGCTTTTCCATGAGTCCACTGTTCAGATTACAGCTGTGTACCTGGTTATTGTGGGAGACAGGAAGCAAGCGTCCGTCTCCTCTTGCCTCTCGAGTCTGCAGAACACCACAGCTCAAAGAGAAATGCCATTCTCCTGAAAGCGGCACCTGGGCACACTCAGTGGGCAGACAGGAGTAAGAGGGACGGGAGAAATCAGGGACCGTAGAGGTGGATCAGTGAGCAACAGCAGCCTTTGCTGCACAGACATGAGGACCCGGGTTCAAATCCCCATCACCTTGGGACTTGGAGAGAGAAGACAGGAGAGTCATTGTGCTTGCTGGTGGAGAGCTTGCCCTGGGTTCAGGGGAAGACATTCTCTCAAGGGAGTAAGGCAGAGAGTGACAGAACAGGACACCTGATACCTTACCTGCGTGTACACACACACACACACACACACACACACACACACACACACACACACACGGAAGGGGAACCAAATCATGAAATGGAAGAAACTTTTTTGAAAATTATTTGGTCCAGCCATAATAATCTTCTTCCCAGGGGCCCAGAAGAGAAGCTGCAAACAGCGCGAATAGAAAGGATCTAAGTACACCGAGTTCTCTGTCCATCTACTTTATTCCTCTGGGATAAAATTCTGTCTACACAGCTTCAGTTCTGCTCCCATGCCTAGCTCCTCTCTTGCCTAATTTCTCTCTACATTTATCTGTCATCCCCTCTAAGTTCTATCTTAATTCTCTCATCTTAGTTCTGCCCCATCTTGGTCTTTCTCATCTCGTTCTTCCCCATCTGGCTCTTCCTCATCTTCCATCTCATTCTTCTAGTTCTCCAGTCAAAATCCTCTCCAGTCAAAATCCTTTCAATCCTCCCTCAGTCTCTGAGATTTACAGTTATATACCCATGCAATAGCAATGCTCTAGCTAAAGCAAGGTCACCAGGCTTGAATTCTTACAGGGTCATAAAGACAGATAAGAGTCTTCCTCAGGCAGTGACCATCAGACTTTCTTTTACAACCCAAAAGGGGAGTGGTAAAGGAGGAGGTCAACTAAGAGCTAAAATCAGTTAATATATCAGAAAAATGAAATTTGTGTCCTTGAACTACATTCCTAGAGGTGGTTAGGTAAATGTTAAGAGTCTATAATGTTAGTATAAATACCACTAAGGTATATAAAAAAGGAGGGTCTGAGCTTAATTTGCCTTAATTCAGGAGATTGTTTGGCCTTGGATGTTTGATAGGTATTTC